TACCGATGCGAAGGAGGGCTTATAGGCGACGTATGTAGCAACAACATGTTGTACCCTAGCCAAGACCGCGAGCTCAAGCGGCTCACGTTCACGTGCCGCAACTGCGGCCACAACGAAGAGGTGCCCGAGTCGTGCATCTACGCCAACGAGCTCGTCAAGGACTCGCGCGTCCAGCTCGATGTGCTGCCGGAAGACATCATTGACGACCCGACCCTCCAGCGCGACTACGACGTCGCGTGCCCCGAGTGCGGCGGCCAAGGCGCGGCGTTCATCCGGTCCCATGACGGCGTGAAGCAGTCGACGCTAGCGCTCATTTGGATTTGCCTCAACCGTGACTGCCAGCTCGACGAGCATGGCAACCGACTGCCCACGCACCGATGGATGGATTAGTACTCCTCGTATCGTCTTGCAACACGAACATGTCCTTACCCCCTCCTGTCCTTGCACCTCGACCAGAGCCACACGATGACGAGTTCAATAAACGACAGCATGCACACTCTGCTTGCATTACATGGTTGGGAACAAGTGCAGTCCCATCATGCGTCTGTCGTGGTCAAGGGCAATGTGAGCCCCGTGGTCAAGAAACTGCTGGAAGGCGGCCCATTTGGCCGCTTCCGTGATCGCGTCAGCGTGAGCGTCAAAGCTCGAAAGTGCATCGCGCCACGTCTTGCGCGAACGCTCCTTGACGTACGGGCCGTTGTAGATCAGGGCACGGAGGCGTATCGTGTTGGGGCGGACGCGGTCCAGCGTATACCTACAAGGACGCATCACGTATATACGCCGGAATGCAAGAAAGGACCCGTACCACGACAGGCGTGGACACCACACGCTTGGATCGTCGTTCAATTGACAGACGTTGTCAATAACAAATACAAAGCGGTTGGGGGTCGCAAACTCGCGCATGACAAAGTAGCTGACTTCGCCGGGGACGTCGACACGCTGAAAGCGCATATTTGGGTCGATGCTGGCGACCAACTACGACGTCTTTTATATCAACTCTACTCGTATCAAGGACGAGCAACAACGTACCGCGGGGTCGAGAACCGTGACGGGAATATGGCTCCACGGCGCCGTCCAAGAGGCCCAGATATTTGGGCGGATACAAGCATACGTGTCATCCAGCGGCAGCGCAATATCAATCTGCATGCGGTCGCCAATGTCAAGCAAGTCGTTACCGTGATCAATCTCGACGTGGTCCATGACGCGCAAAGACGACGACGGAAAGAACGTGCGCGCAAGCATCCAATCCGTGTTGTGGAAGAAGCGCTGGGTGAACCAGTCCAAATTTGTGCATCGCGCAATCGGATCGATCGGGAGCCAGACTTGCTGCCATGTGAACGGCTCGCTCGCTTCCTACATACCAGTTTGTACCAAGCGAGAGTGCAAACTCGGATAGGGCATACGGGTATGTTGTTTCGGCGATATGCCGCGGCTACCCAGAAGGCTAAACCGTGCCCCAGCTTAACAAGTCGGTCGACTTGTTGTCGGAGCATCATGTTGATGCTCGTCGCGTCGTCGACAGCGTCGTTAAGAGCCGACGCCATTTGCTTCCATGGCAAGGTCGTGTCAGCGTGAGCCTTGTACTTGGCCAGAAAATGCTGTAGGACATAAAGCTGCTGCTCGAGATCCTTTTGCTCGTCAAGGTCGCGGGCGCGGCGTCGCTGCTGCTTGAGGCGACGCAGTGTTCGGAGGTGCCCGCCCTTGTCCGCCGTCGTCATTTGCCCACTGCTGATTGGTCACACGTGTCCACCTCGGGGCCATGAAATGCTTGAAGCGGTTGAAACGACAAACATTTTGTGGGCTCCTGATACGGTTTAGAGTATATTTTGGAGGACACAGCTGTGGCTGCGCATCTGCACGATCACCAAAGGAAATGAAAAGCTAAGTCGGATAAATAATAGCTATGACCCGTCCCCGGGTTGACAATCTTCGAGGCTATCGAGTGCCCGACTTCATTCTACAGCGTAAGGCCCTTCAGTCGCCCCGCCCAACGCTGCGGGGTCGGTCGGGAGGCCTACGACCTGCCACGTAAACGGTTCCAAACCAAATAAACATTAGCAAACGTGCACTCTAAAAATGCAACTCATACCGGGACACTAATAAAGCCGTGGTCGATCGTCCTGGAGGCCAACGAGTGCGCCAGCCGGGAGAGTTGCTCGACTTGTTGTCGGAGCTGGATGTTGACAGTTGTCGCGTCATCGACAGCGTCCTGGAGCGCAAACGCCACTTGCTTCCACGGCAAGGCCGTGTCCGCATGCGCCTTGTACTTGGCCAGAAAATTTTGAAGCACGTAGAGCTGCCTCTCGAGATCCTTTTGCTCGTCAAGATCGCGGGCACGGTGCCGCTGCTGCTTGAGCCGGCGACGTTCTCGAAGACGCTCTTCTTTGTCGGTGATCTCCATTTGCCAATTGCTTCTAGGTGCAAACTCGGAAAACGTCTTGCGTGTCCAACGCCGACGCTTCAACTTGGTGGATTTATTCAGCGACAAACCGTGTGATCCGTGAGTGATGTCTGCGATCAGTTGTGCGCCTGTCATACCTATTTCTTAAAGGATACCAGTGCACGCTGGAAGCTCCTGCATATCGGCATTTGGCGAGCGCCACCCATGTGCACGCGTCGTAGTTCCGTTGCCTTTTTTCTTTGAAGCTCTATCAATGGATTCATCGCAAAGATGCGAGGCGTCTCTCACCTACCGGTAGAAAAGCACTGTCGGCAGCAGCGACAGGTTCCTCGCATGCCACTCTGGCATGCACGCCGAGCCAATGTCGTCCAGAAAGTGCTGGTTTGCCTCGCACACGCGAGCTTACAACATCGATTTCATTTTTGTCCCTCGTATCGCCACGCAATGTGCGTGCTGTTCTTGTATGATGCGCCCATTCTTGCAGAACGCTCTGAAATGTGACGTTAGGGGCTGGAGGGCTGCTCCAGAGATGCATACATGCAATCGATGATACCCTTCGTACGGTCTCAACGGATGGCCACGCGATCATGCTGCTGGCAAAACCAATTGAGGGTGATAAGATGCTCTGAGAGGACGGCCACGTCAATGACTTGTTATCATCACTTTGAAGAAGCATCAATTCGAAGAGAGATCTGTATCATCGTTGTCAGCCGTAGTATGGTGTTGCAGCTGCGCTCGACAAAGGTGGTCCACGAAAAGACGCAGATTCTAGCATGGCATGCGCAGCCGCGTGCCTGGTGACGCACCATTTCCTTCAAGACGTTGATGACTTGTGCCCATGATGGCAGCGCGGTGTGCTTGCGCGGTGCGCCCTGGGCTTCGACGATCGAGATCTTGCTGCTCCAAAGCATGACACGGTACCTTAATACCTTAAGATGGATCTTGGTGCGCCTATGAGCTACCTCGTACTAAATTTCCGGTGCGTCAACGTTTGGTGTCGCTTGAGGATCGCGTCGGTGGCGAAGGTTGGTGGCCGATTTTTCAATGCAGCGCACTGATTGGCTAATGAATAACGATGCCGCTGATTTAGCCAATCAGTGCGTCACTTGCACAGTGCCGCAACAATCACCCACGAGAAAGCACGTCGTGCGACGATGATCCGGTCAACTCAGAGGCCGTGCATCAACTTTTCCGAAGCGCTCTTGTTATTCGATTGCTCAGTGTACTTGTACTTTTACATGATTGAATTGGTCGATCCTCCGGATATGTGGGAACCCTAGACGTGAGCATTGGTACAAAACCAGGGCGCGTGACAACTTGCTGATGAGTTGTCGATCCAACTTCAAGCTTCGCAGCGTGACGCACCTTGCAAAGAGTTATTGTCATTATGATAGGTGTCGTGCAGAGCGCTTGTAAGCTAATATGGTCACTTTTGCATTGGCGATGATGACCACCAGGGGGGCTATCGACGAACGCCGCCGAGCGCGAAGTCGACTCAAGCAGCAGCGGCGCCGCGCCCGCGATGTCGACGAGCAAAAGGACCTCGAGAAGCAACTCTATGTTCTTCAGCACTTTCTGGCCAAGTACACCAAGCCTCGTGAGACCACGGCGTTGCCGTGGAAGCAAGTGACATCTGCACTTCAAGACGCCGTCGAGGACGCGACAACGATCAACGCCAAGCTCCGACAACAAGTCGAGTACCTCACCAGTCTAGGACATTGCTTGGCTTCCTGGATGGCGGCAATCGACCGTCGGTGCAATGTGCCGGTATACAGTGGCCTCTCGGAGATTGCACTTTGAACTTACAGTTTTTGGGCTCTAGGAGGCATGCGAGCCGTTTACGTGGCAGCACGTCTGGCTCCCTACCGACCCGATGGCTAGACGCACGAGTTTGGACTGGTTCACCCAGCGCCTCTACCACAACACGGACCGAATGCTTGCGCGCACGTCGTTTCCGTCGACGCCTATGCGGATCATGGACCACGTCGAGATTGATCACGGCAATGACTTGCTGGACCGTATCGCGCGTCTACAAGTTGATGTTGCGCTCTCATTGGAAGACACGTATGCGGCTATGCGCACCTCGATCTGGTCGACGTTGCGTGGCGACAACGCCCCCGTGTCGACGACGTATCTCGACCACGAGGTGTGTTCTTTCCTATTGTGCGTGCGTGCTTACGCTAAGGGCGAGGCGCTCAATTAGATGGTCGAGGGCATCGATGTCAACATGTACTACCAACGCATGCGTACCCCCGCCAACAATTGCCAGTACAACGTGGGCCGCGAGTTCAAGTCTCACGATCGTATCGTCTTTTTGGTGGGTAACGTTCGCCCGGCTGCCGACCCGAGCGCGACGCATTTCGGCTGGCGCTCGCGTCTCGCCTGGTACGCATGCGAGTTTGTCGGATTGCTATTTCACACTGGATTTAGGTACATACTGGAGCGATTGGGACCACGAACGACGCGGGTGCGCGTGCTTCTCTACAACGCGCCGTGCATCAACGCCAACGGAGAGTACATGACGTGGCACGAGGAGCATTGTCAAATCGACAGCTCGTTTTGCCACGTCCCCGAGGCCGATCGGTGGACGACGCACCAGCGCTTCATGGACGACTACGCGGCGATGTTCCTCACGGAGCAGTGGCATGAGCTTGGTCTGCATTTGCTTCCGACAGTATCGAGCTAACTCTTTTCATATAATTGTGTGTGACGCTGAGTATACGAGCGTATACAACTTGCACCATAATATCGGGCTTTTAATTCTCGATGGTTCACGGCAAACGCTTGCCGTGGCCACCGTAAATGCCTTTTCGAGGTAACGATATAGAATGATACTGCATATGTACCGTATTGCTACGACCAAACGACTAGACAATCGGCGGCAAGTGCAAACCAAGACGTTGCGAATGCCGCTGCAGCATGGACGAGCTGCAGTCGTCCATGAAGCGCTCGTGCACAGCCCACTCGCCATCTTCCGACTTCAAGACCAGTGTGCTCTGGACGTGACCAAATTCTTCTTAACACGTGATGCGCCAACTGTCATCGTCGATACACGGCGCGTCACAGAAAAGCACACGAAGCCGCGTGGTCGTTGACCCGAGGCGGTCGAGCGTGTGCCTAGTAGGTGGAAGGGATCGCCACCACAGATTCCTGTTCAATGACGCACCAAAAAAGGCGAGGACGCCATGTCATGCTGCGCTCGTGGAGCCGTGAGAGAAGGTTCTCCGAAATGACCAACAACTCGGTTTGGCCCGTGGAATTCCCGTCCGATGTAATGGCCCACATTGTCGTCCACGCTAAACTGCTGAAGATCATGATGAAGACAGCATCTACAGTGCAATTTGAGGCGTCAGTACGTGCATATGGTGGTAAGTTTGCGACCTCCTGATCGAGAAACGCTAGCAGGAAAGGGGCGCCGTCACCGCGCATGATCGACCAGATCGCATCATGGAGGACCGAGTGCGTGACTTCGAGTGGCAGTGCAATGTCGACCTGCAGGCGCGCAGAAATGTCGACCGAATCGTTGCCACAGTCGATCTGAACGTGGTCCTGGAGCCGTAACGACGACGATAGAAAGAACGTGTGCGCAAGCATCCGGTCCGTGTTGTAAAAGAGGCGATGTGAGAACCAATCAATGCCCGTGCGGCGCGCGGTCGGGTCGGTCGGGAGCAGCACGTGCTGCATATGGCTCGCTCGCTTCCTATAACCCAAAAACTATATTAGTGGAGAATGCGCTCCGTGTTGTGGTACACAAGTGCTGCGAGTACCAGTCGAGGCCCAGTCTGTGGGCTGTCGGGTCGCTCGGCAGCATGACGTGGCGCCACAGAAACGGCTCATTTGGCTCCTATCAAAAAGTGCACACTCACACAGCCGAACACATGTCATACTGGTGGGTACTGGCTGCGTTCGACAGCCGTGGCCCACATCGTGAGCGTGTTACGAGTTGCTGGAGCTGGTTGCACTGCTGTCGCCGGTTGTCGTTGGTCGACAGCGCGTCGGCGCTGGCTGTAGCAAAGACTGACGCGGCTTCTTTCCACGGTACAATTACTGTATAGGGCCATGTCAGCGTGCGGCTTGTAGTGACGAATGCACTGCTGTAGGATGTAAATAGATCTAGTGCTCGAGGGCCTTGCGTTCGGTATTGTTGCGGTCGCGCTGCTGCTTGCGATCACGCTGGTACACGAGACGTTTGGTGACGTCCATGGCAAATTGGGTACTGCACATTCGCGATATTGAAATGAGTTGCTGCAAATTCTAAGCGCATTGTAGTGATTCAGGCTAGGAACGTCCTTTCTAGCATCACCAAGTTTAACCTGTATTGTGCTACATTTTTGTTTGCTGCCCACATATTGTTGGTACCAAGGGCACCTCTGGGTCGTTTCAACATTACTCGTGAATGTACACTATGTCATAAGAATAGGTGCCGATGACTGCGATCACAGTCAATCTGGCTCGTCGTCCACTGCTCGTTTTCGCTCAAGGCGCAACTCGCACGTGGTGGCCCGGCGGGATGCCCGGATGTGCGCAGCGTCTGCGCAAAAGTCTTCCACGAGCCGCGACGGATAACTGAGTTTCTTGAAGATCGCGCGGCGCTCAGCACTGCTGTACCGGTTGATGCGACGCGGGGTCGTCTCGATCGAAGCAATATCCACGCATTGCACTCGCTGGTGGACGTACGCCATGCCGAGCGGAGGTCCGTCCTCGCTCGGCACGGCGCTGCCGCCGTGCGCGCGGCGGAATTCGTACACCGTCGCGCTGCTAAAGTGCACCGTCTTGGCGCGCTTTGGGGTCGATGGCCCGTCGCTGCTACGTGGCCGCCTTTTGGTCGCAGTGCCTTCGCTTTGCTTGCGCTGGAGCATGCTGCGTCACGTGGCTAATGCAATTGTGGCGAATTGCAGCATTTCTGGCGCGGAAACGCATGTTTACAAAGACACGCAATCTTGTGCAACCTGCTCTTCGTCGCCTTCTCCGGCTCCTCGCCCAACACGACTGGCCGCGCCAGCACCTTGTTCCGCGGATTGCGCTCCTGCCTCCGCCTGCCTAGATCAAGTTCCACAACCGATAGCACACAACGAAAAAAGTCAGACAAAAAAATTGCATAGTTTTATTAATATCTACTGGTGTACCGGTATTGTACGACCCACTTCAAGAACAACAAAGACACACAATCAATATGTTTGATGAAAAAGGATGTCAGAAATATCATGCACGAGCAGATGCACGAGCGCCATCCACGATATGGTTGAATATGTGCGGTGTGCCGGAGGTTTGTTTTCCCACGTAATTTTTCACGCACGAAAACACCGTGTGTTGGGAGGTGGGAAACGTACACTGTATGTAACCTTGGACTGCTTAGACCGTTCGATTCGCAACGGCAATGCACATATTGTCATGTGCCACTGCACACATGGAACACAGGGTGTGGTGCGTAAAAACGGGAGCAATCATATATTACGAGGGGGGCACACTAGCTGCGGCACAAACTGCTACAGTGGCAAAACCCCCACACTTGATATGACGGGATAAAACCTACTGACAGCCAATGACGTGGCAGAGGCAGGAGAAAGCAACCGAAAACCAACGAAGAGTTGCGATCATGACACCTAGATGCACACAAACAGATGGTGTGGATGGGACGCATCTTTCTAACTTCCCGACCCTTGCAACCCCTCAACCGACCAGGGGATCGCAGAAAATGACCGAATACACTCTTTCCCCAAATCCTTCAACCTGGGGCTTCCATGCCCTGTCCATGTTAGCGCCCTCAAACCCTCGAAGTCCCCCCGGCGGACCATCTGTTCTGTGTGCATTTACGGTACCGGTATGTACTAGTACGCAATTCGGGATGCAACCAAGCTTTAGTCGGGTGGCGAACAACTTGTTTTCCCACGTGCCAACTCGCGACCTACGGATGTTTCTATGCACGTTCCATTGTCCGCGCAGCATTGGTTCATTGGTTTCATTATGCTGGGTGCATAGAATGATGGTAGCTGGACGCGAGTGTAGGCGATCCCAATCGAGCTGATCAAAGGCCGTCCGTCACACAGTCTTGAATTGGCTTCATCGCAGCGTCTTTGCAAACAATGCTATCGAGCCCCACGAACAACGATACGTGCGCGTATGCACCAAGCTCGACGCCAAAAGCCGGCGCGCCTCCCGTCGCGAAGACGCCGGCCATGGTGCCTCTCTCCAAGCTCTTCTCGTTCGCCGACACCACGGACAAGGTCCTCATCGCGCTCGGTACCTTGAGTGCGATGACCACGGGCGTTATTCAGTGCATCCAGGATGTCTTCTTTGGTGAGGCCCTCAACGCCGTGGGCCCCAACCGCCTGAGCGACGATACCGAAAACTTCCGTGCGGGCATCCGCCGCATCGTGATCCAGTTTGCTGTCGTCGCTGCGATTGCGCTTCTGTCCGGTCTCGCGCAGATTGCGTGTTTTTCGATTGCGGCGGCGCGCCAGACGAAGCGCCTTCGCCACGCCTACGCGTCGGCCATCCTTCGCCAAGAAGTCGGCTGGTTCGACGTCAACGACCCAATGCAACTCGCGACGCGGGTCGCCGATACGACGCTCATCATCCAAGAAGGTCTTGGGCGCAAGGTCGCGGACGCCATCAACTTTTCAACCATGGGTCTTACGGGCGTCATCGTCGCCTTGGTCTACGGCTGGGAGCTCGCGCTCGTCTTGCTGGCTGTCTCGCCGCTCGTCGCTGGCAGTGGCTACTGGATGATCAAGGCGATCACGGCTGCCACGCAAGCCGGCGTCGACGCGTACGCCGAGGCAGGCGGCATCGCGCAGGAAGCTTTGAGCAACATCCGCACCGTGCACGTCTTCAACGCCATGACGTCGTTTGCCCTCAAGTATAAGGCGGCGCTCGCAAAGACGGAAGCTGCCGGTCTCAAGAAAGGCGTCGCCGTCGGCGTTGGCACAGGCGGCATGTTCTTCGTTATATTTTGCACGTACGCGATCGGTATGTACTACGGCGCGGTCAAGGTCGCCGACGACCAGATCACCGGGTCGTGCGTCGGCAGCGGTTGCTACGACAGCGGTCGCGTCCTCATCATCTTCTTCTGCATCATTATGAGCTCGATGGCGCTCGGCCAAGCCAGTCCCGCTATCCAAGCCATCTTTGCGGCCCGTGCAGCCGCCCACGGCGTCTATGAACTCATCGAGCGCGAGTCCAAGATCGATGCAACCGCAGCGTCGGGCAAGATGCTGCCGTCTGTCCGCGGTGACATCACATTGAACAACATCTCGTTTGCGTACCCGTCGCGGCCGGACGTCCGCGTCTGCGCCGGCTACTCGCTCGCGATCCCGGCAGGCCAAAAGATTGCGCTCGTCGGCGCGAGTGGCAGTGGCAAGAGCACAATCGTCTCGCTCCTCGAGCGCTTCTACGACCCGCTCTCCGGCACGGTCTTGCTCGACGACCACGACGTCAAGGATCTCAACCTCAAGTGGCTTCGGTCGCAGATCGGTCTTGTCGGCCAAGAGCCGTGTCTCTTTCAGGACACGATTGCCAACAACATTCGCCACGGCAAGCCAGACGCGACGCTCGACGAGGTGATTGCAGCCGCCAAGCAAGCCAACGCGTACGACTTTATCATGGGGTTTCCGGACGGCTTGGACACTGAAGTTGGTGATCGCGGCGCGCAGCTCTCGGGCGGCCAGGTATGCTGTCCTTTCCCACTTTGCACTTTCCAAAGTTTGAAACCGTCCATGTGTAGAAGCAACGCATTGCGATTGCGCGCGCGATCATCAAGAACCCGAGCATTCTGATCCTGGACGAAGCGACGTCCGCGCTCGATACGGAGAGCGAGCACATTGTGCAGGAGTCCTTGGACCGTCTCGTGGCATCGGGCAACCGGACGACAATCATCATTGCGCACCGCCTCTCGACGATCCGGAACGCCGACCGCATCGTCGTGCTTCAAGCAGGTCGAATCGCGGAAGATGGTGCACACGACGAGCTACTGGAACGTCCCGACGGCCTCTACAAGGCGCTTGTTGACGCGCAGATGAAAACTTCCGAGACCACCGACGATGCGTTCCCCGCCGCGTTGGGCCACAACCGGCTGCAGCACAAGCCGGCATTGACTACCGAAGCCGACGTAACGGCATCGTCGATCGAGTCGGCGTCGGGCACGGATGCGTCACTTCCGTCGGGCCCCGTGTCGATCATGCGCGTCTGGCGCTTGAGTCAGCCCGAGTTTTTGAATCTTGCTTTGGGCAGCCTTGGTGCGCTCGTCAACGGCGCCGTGTTTCCGATCTGGGGTGTGCTCTTGACCAAATCGACCGTCCTTTTCTTTCGCGTCGATCTCGGTGCCGATGCCATGCTGCACGAAGCGTCGATTTGGTCGGGCGCGTATGCGGCGCTGGGTGCCGTCTTCTTTGCGGCCGTTGTCGTCCAGAACCATCAGTTTGCGATTGCTTGCGAGCGTCTCACGTCGCGCATCCGGGCCATGTGCTTTGATGCGATGCTGCGCCAGGACATTGGCTGGTTTGACGACGAGAAGCACTCGTCTGGCGCTCTCACAACGCGCCTCGCGACCGACTCGGCGGCCATTCGCTCCATGACGGCCGAGACGCTCAACGCGATCCTTGTGACGCTCGCGTCGGTCGCCGTCACGATAGTGATTGCGTTTACGCAGAGCTGGCAAATGACGCTCGTGATCCTCGCGACCTTTCCCGTTTTTATGGCCAACGGCTACATCCAGTCGACCACGATGAGCGGCGGCACCGGGAAGGACGTCAACGATGGCGACACCAAGGCTGGCGCACTCCTCTCGGAATCCATCAACTCGATCCGGACTGTCGCCTCGTTTGGCCTCGAAACGGCAACCAACGCCAAGTACCTCGCCTACCTCCAGCAGTCGTCGTTGACCGACCGCAAAGTGGGTCTCCACGCGGGTGTCGCGTACGGCATTTCGCAAGCACTCATGCTGCTCGTGCTCGCCTTCCTCTTCTGGTTTGGTGGCTGGCTCATGCTGCGTGGCGACTTGACGTTCGAGCGAATGTTTATGGTACTTAACCCGATGTTTCAATGCTCCACCGCCGTCGGCATGGCGATCCAATCGCTCGGCGACGTTGGCAAGGCCAAGAAGGCCGTTCAGAGCATCTTTGGTATCATTGACCGGGTGCCAACCATCAACTGCGCGGCAAACGATGGCCTCGTGCTCGGTGACGTCAAGGGCGAGCTTGAGTTGCACCACGTGGCATTTGCGTACCCGTCGCGCCCCGACGCGATCATTTACAAGGACTACAGCCTCACGGTGCGCGCCGGCCAGACGCTCGCGCTTGTCGGTGGCTCTGGAAGTGGCAAGAGCACGGCGATTAGCCTCCTCGAGCGCTTTTACGACCCCGTATCCGGCGCTGTCTTTCTCGATGGCCACGACCTCCGGTCGATCAACGTACAGTCGCTCCGTAGCCACATCTCGATCGTGTCGCAGGAGCCAGTGCTGTTCGCGGGCACGATCGCTGACAACATCGCCACGGGCAAGCCGGGTGCGACGAAAGCCGAGATTGAAGATGCCGCCAAGAAGGCCAACGCCCACGACTTTATCCTGCGGTTCCCGAACGGGTACGACACGGCGGTCGGTGATCGCGGCGCGCAAGTGTCGGGCGGCCAGAAGCAGCGCATCGCGATTGCGCGTGCCATCATCCGGGACCCGGCCGTGCTCTTGCTGGACGAAGCCACGTCGGCGCTCGACACGGAGAGCGAGCGCATCGTGCAAGCGTCGTTGGACGCTCTCTTGCAGCAGAAGCGCCGTACGACCGTGATCGTTGCCCATCGTTTGTCGACAATCCGCAACGCCGACATGATTGCAGTCGTCCACGACGGCGCCGTGTGCGAGCTTGGCACACACGACGAGCTCGTAGGCCTCCGTGACGGCATGTATGCCGCGCTGGTCGCGCGTCAGATGACGCACTAGACGAGGTGTGTGCACTCGTTCGGGGTGCATGCATTGCGTTGGCTGACGGATCCGATCAAGGGCGTTCAGTTTTGCACACCGCGCGGTTGTACGTTGAGGTGTCACATCACCACCTTCGTTGCGAGTACAGGTGAAAGGAGTCTTCTCGTGGCACATTCAATATAGTCCCTCGTTCTTTTACTAATGCAAGCCGCCTCGGCGTTTTCGACACCCCGATACGCAGCGCAGCATGGTCCAGCGCAGTGCCAACGTTCTTTTCTTGGTTGTGCGCCGTGATCGGAACAGAAATGCGCGTACTACCAGCGTTGTCTCGCTACATGTCAACGCGCCAACTTCGTGCCAAGTTTGACATACGAAATCAGCAGCCCCGTTCGTAAAAGGCCATAGTACCTCCACCCAACCAACGTACAACTCGATTGTTGCATGTATGATGCAGCTGAGATATGATCTCTGCAGCGCGGCCTCGAGACGTATCGAGGGCCGTGCGATGACGAGCAACACGTCGACGACGCACAACAATTTACAAATGAGATAGAGCAGCAGCGCGGGCACAAGCCAAGGGTGCCCTTTACTCAACCAACGTACTAGTACTGTACTCGTTTGTTATAATGCGGCTCCGAAAGAATCTCTGTTGTGTCCGATCATGGGATACGCCGAACGCCATCGTCAATGCAGGGTGCATTGTGAGAGAGCAGCGTTGTCGTCGGCCTGAGGCGGTAGCGTGTACTGACCGCTAAAGTACCCCACAGGGATCACCACCATAGTTTCTTGTTGAATGACGCACCGAAAGGGGACGGGGACGCGACGGCATACTTCGGTCATGGAGCCGCGACGCCATGTCTCCGGAGAGAAACATTGACGGAGGTCACCAACTTCTGTACAAGTTCCATCATTGATTGGGCCGAGGCTCTATCTACCAGCATTTACGACCGCGATGGAAACTATTCATCCGCTTTTACGCGCGACGGAAGAAGATTTCCTCGGAAATCGAACCTGACTTTGCACCGCTACAGTAGATTAGGACCCTTGCTTGACACGAAGCAATCCGACCTGCCGAGGTACACAACATCCAGTCGCTGCAATGCCTCTTGTCGACTGGTTGTACATTGGCGTATTTTCAAAAGGGAGTGGTTATGGACAAAGGTGCTGCGACACAACGGTCACGGACGAAGCGGAAGCGTGTCCAAGCCAAGGTGTTGTAAATGCCATTGTAATTGGCCGCGCGACGACTCGGCCATCTTGCGATGGAACGCTGCCCAGTCGCCCGAGTCGCCAATCGCTTTGAATGACGCATCCGGTACAAACGTTGTCAGCTCGTCACGCCACGTCAAGCGGCGTCCGTTCCATTCAAGCGGTCCGTTGTAAAAGAGAAGACGAAAACGCGTCGTCTGTGGCCCCACGCGGTCCAGTGTGCACCTAACCGAGGTGATCGATCAAGCTACCGTGCAACGCACTTGTACCAAAACATTCTTGGACGCCACACATGACTGGTATCCGCACCGTTGGTCTCGTCGCGGCGCAGGTTGCCAAAGGTGTAGACGTTGCGGTCCGCCGTGGTGTAGTGGCGACTGACACAATAATCAACTCGAGGGCCCGCAGCGACGCGGTAAAGGCTCAGTTTCAAGTCGACTTGACTGGTCAGCTACGCCACATGCATCAATGTACTACATGAACAACCTGCCGCAAACAATCGCGCACATCTTTTCGTTCAAGTATGTTGTGTGGACTCCGACGTCGTGCGCCCGGATAAAGTCGACCAACGACGCGTGCAAACGCACACGCGCATCTTCGAACGGTAGCGCAACGTCGTATTGCATGCGGAGCAAGAAGTCGGCCAAGTCGTCTCCGCAGCTGACCTCGAGGTTGTCGGCGAAGTTCGAGCGCGTCGGAAACTGAGCGTACTGGAGAATGCGCTCCGTGTTGTGGTACAAGTGCTGCGAGTACCAGTCGAGGCCCAGTTTGCGGGCCGTTGGGTCGCTCGCCAGCATGACGTGGCGCCACAAAAACGGCTCAGTTGGCTCCTATTGCAACGTGCCAACTCGCAATGCCAAACAAATCTCAAGACCTACCGGCGGGTACTGGCTGCGTTCGACAGCCTTGGCCCACGTCGCGAGAATGTTACCGAGTTGCTGGAGCTGCTTGCACTGCTGTCGCAGGTTGCTGTTGGTCGACAGCGCGTCGGCGCTGGCCACGGCGAAGACCGACGCGACTTCTTTCCACGGCAGTGCCGTGCCAGCGTGCGGCTTGTAGTTACGAATGTACTGCTGTAGCATGTAGATATGGCGCTTAAGAGCCTTGCGTTCGGTAGTGTTGCGGTCGCGGTGACGCTGCTGTTTACGCCGGTTGCGATCACGCTGGACCGCGAGACGCTCGGCGACATCCATGGCAAATTGGATTCTGTGCTCCTGCAATTTTGATTGTAGTGATTCGGGCCAATCGCACGGTCCTTTAAACAGCTGCGCAAAGGCCTATTTGCCGGGGGGTTGTCGACTAGTACAATACTCGATTAGTTGTCGGCAGCGTTACAGATTCGTGGGTAATGAAACTAGCAATGCACAAGCAGCTGGTGTCCGAGTAGGCTTAGACGAGGATCGTTGCCACAGGAATGGAAGGACGAAATAGATCGTGTCTTGTCTTGAATCCCTACAGTTACCAACTCGGTTTGCCAATACAATTTGCGCCTCGCGGGAACTGCCGTGATTGCTCTGGAGTTGGGCAGTGGTCTGGCTGATGGTGGATGGGGACGCACGGGCGCTTCTTTGGTGTAAAAGTAAAATAATCGCGCGTGCGCGCGGTGAACAAGCCTAGCTGGTTCCCTCTTGCCCTTTGTATGCTCCTTTTCGCCCGTCTGATTACCTGTTGCGCCCCATCAAGATACTTGGTATGCGATCGTCATCCTCTTAGCTCATCCTCTTACAATACCGGCACGTCGCCTTTGTTTGCATGTCCGTTTTGCCGTTTTTTCGGAGTCGAGTGGATGCTATGTACTGACGGGAACGGCAATGAAAAGTGGAGAAAGGGACGGCGATGTGGGGAGATAACACTTTGTGCCTTTTAAAATCGAAGAGGAGAAGAAAAAAGGAAGAGGGAAGTTCGAAGCTCGAAAGGCGCGATCAACGACCCTTCGTTGTGGCTGGCGTCCCACTCGCAGTGGCGCGATCGCCATGGAGTGCTCCATTTCAGCGGCCGCAACGGTCGGAGGGTTCGTGTCGAAGATACAAAGATCCTGATTTCGAACTTCGAGTGTTAGATTGAATTATTTCAATTTCCACCAATGTCTAGTCTCCGGCCTGTCCCTTCAAGCAAAAATCGACCAATGCCTGGTCTCCACTTCCGAATTATAGCCAATGCCTATTACACCCACATACTACGAGGCAGTCCCCGTTAAGGGGACAGCGCCTACGGCGCTCGAACCCCACACGTCCTGCGTGTGATGCAGGAATCCACCGACTGTACAAAGGGTGGTCAACTAGATGCCTTCAGCATCTTAGACAGTATGAATCAATGAATCATGACCAATTCCTTTTGAATGGCTCGCGCTACCTTCAAGAAGTCATTGCATACGAGTAAACGTACAACATGCGGCCTCGACCTCACGCAACGCTATGTCCGACTCTTTCAGTGGCAAATATGGGCACTATTAATAATAAGATAGGATTTTCCCGTTTTTGCAGCACCACACCACATGGTCCTTATATGTGCAGTGTCACAGGACAATTTGTACATTAAAGTTGCCCAGTGACCGGTCCTAATAACCCCATGCTTCATGCTGTCTACGTTTCCCACCTCCAATCAAACGCTGTTTTTATGCGTGAGAAATAGCGTGGGAAAAATGCCTTCACATGGCGCTGGTACGTAGTACAGTTTTTCACATCTTTCCTACATGGCGACCACTCAGCCTAGTCCAAGAAGAAGACGAGACGACAGTCTCGGGCTAAACAAGAGTCTGGGTGCGGGCGTGAATTTTAGCGCTGAACGACTAAAGCCGAAAATGCTTGGCGCCAAGCTTCGTCCACACCACTTCCGAAAACCATATTTTATTTCCTAAAACTAGGTTCCTGCGGAGTGGGCTGGTAGGAAACCTCATTGTGAGGGAAAGTTGAGCAATGGAGTCGGTGGAAGTGCGAAACACCTGAAGCGTGTGTCTTCCGCGTCGCTCATTGTGTTATGTGAAGGTTGTGAGTTGCAGGGCATGCAGTTTGTTACCGCATCTTGCGTGCTGTCGGCGAAGCTGTTGGCCACGCTGACGCTGATCATCGCTGCGTGCGCCTCGCGCAATGATGCGCTCGAGGAATGCGAAGGACATATTGTTGCAAGTGGCCGTTGTAGGCGAGAACGAGGTAGTTGAATTCGAAATTGTCGATCGGTCCCCTTCCCATGACTGCTGTGATGGCATTGGTTGATTCAAGTTGTGTTGGCAAGTGTAGCTGTGACGGTGGCGCGAGGGTTAAATTTATACGTGGCCAAGCGGATGGCAAGCGGATGGCGAGGGACGCACATCAAGTGGAACGAGGAGACAACACGGTTGTAAGCGGACAGAGAATGCTACCGCGAGCCGCTCAGCCTTCTGCGTCGGTGTGTCGCTCGCCTTTTGAGCGGCGCGTGCGTTGGCTTTGCCCTGGCGCTGCTTTTGGAGCCACGCAGCCTTCTCTTCAGGTGTCGCTGGCCTTTGTTGCGTGCATGCTTTTCTGAGATGGTGGTGCACACAGACAACCCCGGCGCAACGCCACAGAGCGCAACGTCACAGAGCTCGAGCGACATGGCGCCAAGATGGTACAAGAGTACCCAAGGTAGGACACATCGGTTGTTTCAGGGAATTTCGACCAAGGGGAACGAGGTTCAGCGACAAGCCGCGAAGGAAGTATCTTTTAAATTTCTACCAATCACTGCAGCCGCGGACACGGAGACGGACAGACGGACAGACAATTAATCCCCCGTGGGCTGGTGTAACCAGAGGTTCCTACCATGGGTTCCTACCAGTAATATATTCTCACCACACATGCACGTCTATGTGAATATGCGTTTCCGCGCCAAAAATGCTGCAATTCGCCACAATTGCATTAGCCACGTGACGCAGCATGCTCCAGCGCAAGCAAAGCGAAGGCACTGGGACCAAAAGGCGGCCACGTAGCAGCGACGGGCCATCGACCCCAAAGCGCGCCAAGACGGTGCACTTTAGCAGCGCGACGGTGTACGAATTCCGCCGCACGCACGGCGGCAGCGCCGTGCCGAGCGAGGACGGACCTCCGCTCGGCATGGCGTACGTCCACCAGCGAGTGCAATGCGTGGATATTGCTTCGATCGAGACGACCCCGCGTCGCATCAACCGGTACAGCAGTGCTGAGCGCCGCGCGATCTTCAAGAAACTCAGTTATCCGTCGCGGCTCGTGGAAGACTTTTGCGCAGACGCTGCGCACATCCGGGCATCCCGCCGGGCCACCACGTGCGAGTTGCGCCTTGAGCGAAAACGAGCAGTGGACGACGAGCCAGATTGACTGTGATCGCAGTCATCGGCACCTATTCTTATGACATAGCGTACATTCACGAGTAATGTTACATCAACCCAACGCAACGGTGCCAATACATTTAGCACAATACAGGTAAAACTTCGGGGAGAGCAGGTGCTGCAAGAAAGGATGCTCTTCAATCAAGACCGAATTCGTGTGGCAACAACCGGGTTGGTATCCGCTCATGCCAGTGGTGGGCGAGGCGGGTTAGTTGGTTGCATCACCTATGACACCTAGTAATACCGGTACCGCCTATCAATTACCCCTTGTATACCGTAGTCTACCGGTGAGCTACCCGTTATGTTATCTTCTTGGAGCGCATGGCATCATGATTATATGGCAGCTAGATTATTCTGGCCCTCATACGTTCGACCACCACACTTCCAGCGTTATTATTTCCTGCTTCCGAGACCGTTACCGTCGTATGTCGATACACTTCCGTTGTGTGCCCGAATCTCAAACCATTGTGTGCTCTCTCCTGAACTGAGAGTGTCGA